ACTCAGACTAATTATATTTAAACACATACTATTGAATCAAAATCTACTATAATAAACTCTCAGTTTAATACACCTTGGTTTATTGACTTCAGCTACATAGACAATCTTTTAGTATTTTTTAACCAACCTACATTAGTACAAAGTCCACTGCATTCAAATTAGTCCAGATAATTTTGAAATAATATTGATTCCATATATCTTTCTAGTTTATTTTGGAACCTTGTATAAGTTGTATCAGTATAATAACTTAAACAGAGCTTTATTTAATTTTACGTGTGTGTGTATGTGTGTGTGTTTGTGTGTGTGTGTGTGTATTTGTTTGTATTCAGACATCAATATCAATCCAATTATTAATATGGTAGTTCTCCGATTCTTAATTTAGCTCTCCAGATAGAATCCAAGTGTGCAGTAAAATTCATAGGAACTGTTCTCTGTTGAAAACCTAACATTCTTTTTAAAGTTAATTGAGTCATGCTGATTTTATTTTATGTTATTCTATATAATCAAAACCAAGAATAAATATGATAAAATAAAATCTAGGACACATTGGGGTTTCTTCCTGATTTTTTTTGCCCTGCAGTTGCCAACTAGATTCAAGCCATTTTCTAACTTGAACTTTTTTGTTGTTAGCTTTTGCTGTCACACCAAATTCTGCTGACAGAAAGACAGATGGACAGAGCCCAAATCCATTTACATAATTTCTTTCTGAAGGTCCATTGGTCTGGAAAAAAATAAAAAGGAGTAGAGAGCAGGTTTGAACTATTAAAGTCTGTCAGCAGACTAACTTTTCTAAAACAGAACAAAACAGGACTTTATTTTGTACTGCAGAAGTCAACAAAAGAAAAATGGGCCATGTCTGGTTTTAAAATGTATTCCTTTTTGTTCATTATATGACCCATAACCTAAACTGGGCTATTATGATAAGCCACTTGATTTGGCATATCATTCAAACAACGTAATAATAAGCCCAAGAATGAAAATGGGAAGTTTTCTTAAATATTTTGGAGAATCAGTTTTGGGATAATCATGAGAATATGAAATAATAGAACAGGTAATTAAACCAAGTGAATGTTCTGCTCAGTTAGGAATTCAAATCAAATCTGCTTGAACACACCCAATAAGAGAAAGTTGACTATCTCTGTGAATAATTAGTTCTACTGCGGAACTGCTCTTATGGAACATATGTTTTCCTAACATATTCAATAGGAATATGCTGATGGAAACTGCTAGATAGAATTTAGTGTGTGAACCTCAGTAAACTTGAATTGGGCAAACAGTTTCAATTCTATTTCATACTTTTTGAGCAAAAGAATTTCAGGTTGTTTCAGAAACCTCTCAAATTAATTTTCAGGTTAGTAAATACAGATATATAAATTTTTAGCATTATTTGGAAGAAAAGTTTTTAAAAGGTATGATATTAAATAACAAACTGTGGTGTTCCCCGTTGGTACAGGCACACTGGGTGCCAGACCAAAGAAATCTTTATATTATCTTAGAAAAGATTGTGCAGAATCTTAGAACTGCACATTGTCAAAATTCCCATAAGTCAATGGCAAAAGGCCATAATGCTTGGATCCATACATATACTGCACTGATACATTACGACATCCTAGGTTCTTGGGAAGAACTTGATGTCTATGAAAGCTAAGATGAACTAAAGAACTCATAGCTGTGACTTCATCTTGTCATCTCCTTTTTATGACCCCATAATCCCTTGCAGGTTACAGTCTGGGCAACTGAATGGAAAAGGGTGTTTACTGGCCAGATGCCCTTCCTGTCACCAGTGCAGAATTTTATTCAGCAGATAAATTCTCATTGTGCCCAGAGAGAAATACACAATCCTGCCTCTGCCGATTGTGAGGTGAGAGCTCCATTCTAGGCCACTGCACCAGTCTTAACTTCACATTGTTGTGAACAGATAATAGTTTATTAAATTTGTATGACACCCGACTGGCTGTTGATGGTTCATGGCAATCAAAGAAATTACAGTAAAATCAATATAACATAAACAATAAAAGACAGAAAGTGCAATGAAATTTGGAGTATCACTCTCCCTTGCCAAAGACTTGTGTGAGGAGCCAGGCTTTTATACCTCTTCTAAACAGTAGCAGAGTGGGTAGCCATCGGAATCTTGTTCCAGATAGTTGTTGCAAAAAAGATGTACTTCTGAGCTCTTGAGAGCTGGTGTTGTCTAATACAAAATCCAGAGCACACCAACTTTTCAGGATTGGCTCAGCTGGACAGATGTTATGATAGGCAGAACAGTGGTGGCATTTGACCGGTTCTGCCCGGTTCTGGAGAGCCGGTAGGAGTGATGAGCAGCGAAGACCGAACCGGTTCTCTCCACTGTTCTGCTGTTGGGTCCACCTGCCTGCCGGGGCTCTCATACTCATTTTTATCGGCAGAATTTGAAGCGGAGCTGCTTTGCGTGGCACAAAATAGCGCTGCGCGGCAGCTGCTGAAGCAACTGGCATTGTGCAGGCTTGCAGGAGGCAAGTTAGAACGCCTCTGAGCCTGCCAAATGCCTCTGCGCCTGTGCAAAGTGCGTGTTTGGCGTGCACATGCATGCAAAGTGTGTACACGTGCGCAAAGCGCGCCCACCAAGCCTCGCCCACCGAACCGGTGGCAAGAATTTTTGAATCCCACCACTGAGGCAGATTATCCTTGAAATTAGAACAGTCACCCAACAATCAAGGAAATCTAGGAGTTTAAGTTCAGATCAATCAATTTTAAGGATTTTGAATACATTTTAATGGAAAGTGCTGATGTTTTCATGTTCCAGTAACATTACACTTAAAATATTTTTACAAGTACAGGTTTAAAAGAATATAAACTTTTAAACTTGGAATAGTATTTTTCCCTTATTCTTTTAACAAATTATGTATTTCTTTAAAAATAAGATACTTTAAATAGTTCAAAAATGTCTGATGATGTGCATTTTGCAGAAAACAATACTGTAACAAATCACTAATCAACTAAGTACTATAATCCTCCTTATCGGGTAATACTTACTTGACCTCCAGCTATATACAGCACATCACAACAGTATTAAACTGTAGCTGCTATCTCATGTTCTCTGTAACTTTTCTTCTAGATCATAATTCAGATTAGAGACTAGTAATTTTTAAAACCTATATTTGTTCCCTTCAAATATTGATTAATTTGTACTTGAGGTGGGGAACTTGTATTAAAAGGCTATTTTTAAAACAAAAACAAATGAAATTGTATATGGTATCCTCAAAAACAAATGAAATTGTATATGGTATCCTCAAAACTATCAGGATTTAATGAAGCCATAGGGTGCCCAGAAATTGATATTCCTGATTTCCCAGATGTGCAGTGGCTGATCAACAGGTAAAGAAAGACCTTTGCATATTACTATGAAACTAATAGTCTTGTAGAGCCAGAGAAAAAATTCTAAGTAAACAATTTGTTAATATGCCTAACTGTTTTATATTTTAGCAAGTGTATTCTCAGAATTCATGACTTTAAAGAGTGTTACTGTGACCTGTCTATCAACTTTACAGTCAGAGTTTTGAAAATATAATTGATATTCAGTTAATAAAAAAACAATATACTGTGCTTAAAATATGATTTGCTTTTCTTGTATTGTACTTGATAAATGCTAAGAAAAGAATGCATAATAGAATACTTTGTATTTCCTAAGAAACAAAAATGGATTCAAACGTATATGCTTAGACTTAGAATATAAGTCTTATTATATTACAAATGGTATCGGAAATTTCAGTGAGTCTATTTGAAATGTCACTAAGTTGGTATTCAATTCTCTTTTCTAAGCTCATTTTGTCAAGTATATATTCCATTAATATATATATATATATATATATGTATGTATGTATGTACGTACGTATGTGTATGTGTATGTGTATGTGTATATATGTGTATGTATGTATGTATGTATGTATGTATGTATGTATGTATGTATATAATGAGAAGTTGATAATTTAGACGAAAGTCTTGGAATATTTTTTCTTCTTTTGAAACAAAATAGCTTATTATTTTAGGTTGTATTTTGATAACAGTATAGCATGGCATGATATAAACAATAATATAATATATTTGTAAAATATAGCTTACAAAAATTTCAAGAGATTAATGAGATGGATTACATTTAATAGAGATCACTCTATAGTTCCCATGGGATTTTAATTAGATTTAAATGTAGTCGTTTTAGGGACTAAAGTTTTCATACCTGCTTTTGTGATTGGTCATTATTATTATTAGTTTCATGAACATCAGCTTAATTCCAGATTACATTTTTGAAAGGTAATGTGAAAATAATTAAAATTTATACTTTGAATTTGTTTGCAAAAATGAGTGAAAAACAGTAGTTAAGTATAGTTGGAATTTCCCAAAATCTATTTGTACATTCAGTTTTCTTTGTGTTATTTTATTGCATCTGGTATTACTTTGAAGTGTTTTATTTGTAATATATTAGTAAATATTTAGAATGTAAAATGTTTTCATGGTCATTATCTTCGTAAACCTTGTATAGAGATCCTATAAAACATAGACGGTGAGAGGTTAAGACTAATAACAAAAGTTAATAACATTAATATAGCAAGTTAGAACATAATTTTATGCTGCATGCAAATGTTTTAAAAATTATACTTGGGAAAGATACAATTTGATAAAGGCAAATTATGTGGAAGAAAGACTGCAGCATTCTATATTACTGAAAGACTACGCAGCATTCTATATTATTTCTGTTTCATTGTGGATGTAAATAATGACGTTTGAATCTCTGCTGTCTGTACTTTGGATACTACATTTCATTAGCAAGTGTTGCAAGATTATATAAAGCTGGTATACACAATCCTTAAGTATTTGACTTTGTAGAACTTAAAATAACATTCATCTATTAGAGTTGTTATGAATAGTTAGGGTATGGTAGCTCAGTCATTTGGAATAAATACTTTCTGAATTAATTTGTAATAGATACTTGTTTAGTAATTTTTCTTTTCTTTTTAATTGCTTAGAAAAAGAAGCCCATCAATACCCAGGGATCAAAACAGAAGTTTCAATCAGCTGGAGGAGAAAGACGACTATTTACAGTATGCAACATCAGATGCTGCAATGCCAAGATCACCATCAGATTATACAGACAGACATTCACAACATGGGTTGCAACCATATGAAGAACCTGAAATTGATGACTATAGGGATTCTAGCAGAAGAAACCACAGACGTTCAAGGGAATATCAGTTAGAGGAAGATGACATGCAAAATAGAGGAGAATATGAAAGGCAGCGGAGGGAAGAAGAATATCAAGCACGATACCGAAGTGATCCTAATTTGGCTCGTTATCCTGTCAAACCCCAACCATATGAAGAGCAAATGCGCATTCATGCTGAAGTCTCGCGTGCACGCCATGAAAGAAGGCACAGTGATGTGTCTTTGGCCAATACTGAATTGGAAGATTCCCGGATTTCGATGATGAGAATGGACCGACCATCAAGGCAAAGGTCTGTCTCTGAACGCAGAGCTGCCATGGACCAACGTTCGTATTCAATGGAAAGGACTCAGGGACTAAGTCCCAATAGGCAGAGAACCGCAAATCACAGTCCTCCAACACCGAGGAGGAGTCCAATACCTTTTGATAGACCAGATATGAGGAGAACTGATCCATTAAGAAAACAGCATCATTTAGACCCAAGCTCAGCTGTACGGAAGACAAAACGTGAAAAAATGGAAACCATGTTAAGAAACGATTCATTGAGTTCAGATCAGTCTGAATCAGTTAGGCCTCCACCCCCAAAGCCTCATAAAACAAAAAAAGGAGGTAAAATGCGCCAGGTGTCATTGAGCAGCTCTGAAGAAGAGTTGGCTTCCACACCAGAATACACCAGCTGTGATGATGTAGAAATTGAAAGTGAAAGTGTTAGTGAAAAAGGTAAGGCCTTTTTTTCTGTTTGCCTTTTAAGTAGAGGGTAATTTATTTTGAGTATGGGATTTGAAATGACAATAGAAGTTGGTCCCTGTGAAGTTACGTTCTTCATGCTGATGCTTTAAAATGTGGTTTTCTCTAATTTCAGTAGAGCTTTACAAATGAATTTTGTATTATCCTCTCTTGTTTAATAGTTTTAAATCTACATGAATCCAGTATTCGATACAATATTTTTGTTTTTATTTGCTTTTTATAAACATGGTTTTCAGGGCAAAAGTTGAATGAAACTACAGATTAGCTCTTGTATTTCTGACTAACTTTGCATCCTAGTTTAAAACCAAACACACAGAACCAGCTGGAGTAAGTACATAGCACTGAATTATGTCAGTTGTGTCAAGGTAACATAGTTCTTAGAGGGTGTTTATTGGTTTTTTTTTAAACTGCTCTCACATACATACAAAACACAAAAACCTATTATTTTTATTATGGCAAAAATTCCAATTTCTGTATTATGGTATATTATTTTTGTATTATTCTGTTTTATGGTGGATCTTATAGCAACATCAGGAAGATCAATTTGAGTCAATAAAATAGAATTGGAGAAAGGCTTAAACACCTTTCCTACACTAATATTCATGTCCTGATACAGTTCAACCTAACCCCAGGGGCAGCTTTAAGGTATTAAAAATCAAGAGATTTAATTACCCCCGTGTTATATGTAATTAAAACAGTGCAATACAAAAATAAGCATTTAATTTAAAAAAGTCTACTGATCTTTGTGCACTAATAACTTGATATGAATTGGCTAAAATTAGTGAAGTTGACAGATTGAAAGTAATAAACTACAGCTATTGATAATTCTAGATTTCATCTGTGTAGGACATTTTATGCTTTTAAATGTGACATTTGAATGCAATGATATCAAACTGCTGCAGGGTAAGTGAAGTATTTGTAAAAAGTGATATTCTGTAACACGGTACACTAAAATATAGTATGGTGCGCTTACTCTGTGGTATTTTCCCTTTAAAACCTCATATTATTACTATTCTTAAAATATTACACCTTGAGCTTTACATGCAAATAATCTCAGACAATTGGTTCTTTGATTCTTAACAAGGTACTGTAATTGGTCCTCTTTTTCTTTACTGTCAAGCTTTAGCTTCTTATGAGGATTTAAACTTTCAGAACTATGGAGTTAAATTATTAAAAACAAAATATTTACACTATTTTTAAGAGTTGTGTCACTAGATTTATGTTTTATATTTATACCAGGTACCTAAATACATTCACTTGAAAAAAAAATCTCCTTATAAGTGTTCTTTGGACTGCAACATTTACTTTACAATCATGTGTCTTCTGTGTTACTGTTTTGAAGAAATATATTTGTGGTATAAAGGAAAAAAGAGCGAAAATCTGACTTATAAATTATTGCTGCCCTCTTCAATATTTTACTTTTGATCTGTAATATAGGACTACAAGCATTACAATTTTTTTTCAAAAGTGTTGGTACTCTAAGAGCACACATACTTTTTCCCCCTCATGAACAAGTTCAGAATGTACAGTGGAAAATCACTTCTGGTGAGAAATGGTGAATTGATGTTCCATGAAGAGTAGGACACGTTACAGTTGAAAACAGCAGTTGGATGCAAGGAGCTGGATTGCTGAAGCCTCTCTGGAGAATGGAGAGATCTAGAAATCACCCATATGCATTCCAAACAGCTGTTTTTTTTTGTTTTTTTTTAGTAAATAGGAACTGAGGGTTTTTTTATGGTCAGCTTGCAAACAGCTGGGATTCATAGAATTCCATCAGTCTTATAGCTTTCAATATATAGCCTACATGGACTTTAAGTTCAACCAAACCCCACAATCTTAATTACTTTGTATTTTTTTTAAAAGAAATTTCAGAATTACAGGTTTTGCTGTATTTGCTGGTTAAGCTTTTACTCTTTTAAGAAAAAAGTTTTAATTACTTAATTACTAGTTGAAGGTTTTGAAAAAGAAAAAAAATGGAATATTCTGCAAAATGGTGATTGGAATGTTGATTTTAGAGAGCTTTAAACGGACTAAGGGTTCAGATAGAATTGAATTAAGACTTGGAAGTTAATTAAATCCTCCCTATGGGAAACTTTACATTTGGGAACAAAAATAACTTAATAAGATGACTAGAAGGCACCAGGAGGAAACCAATACATATGTAGATCCAAGGAAAAAAAGAATTATTGGATTCAGAAAATAATTTTAAAGACATCTGCTATTATAGATATATTAGATGGTGTCACAGAAGATAAACAAGCTTCATTAGATAAGCTGAAATTAATTTCAATGTGAATTTAAAACAGTAAAAGGAAATATTAAATATACAAATGAAACCAACTGATGTTCTAACAAGTAAAATAGACACACAAATACTAAATCAGAAGAGCAATGTGGAGATCCTTTTTATAGCAATAGCACTTAGACCTATATACCGCTTCACAGTGCTTTACAGCCCTCTCTAAGCGGTTTACAGAGTCAACAGTGGTGGGATTCTACAGGTTCACACTTATTCGCTAGAACCGATTATTAACATCCTAAGCAGTTTGGAGAACTGCTTGTTAGAAGAAATTACTGGCCTAATCCTGTAAGGAAGGCAGGAAGGAAACATTCTGGTGTTGCTTACAGAAACTGCCTCTCCGTTAACCTTTATTACATTCTTGGCAGGACTAGACTTCCTGTCTCAGGAACTTCTCTGAAGCTTTTTCCCCTCCTTTGCTGGTACTTTGCTTGTGTGGAGTGACCATTCAAAGTTACAATGGCACTGAAAAAAGTGACTTATGACCATTTTTCACACTTACGACTGTTGCATCCCCACAGTCATGAGAGGCCAGGCGAGGAGATGCGTGCCTTGATGTGAGTGATATTGAGTTGGCCACGCCTAGCCAATAACATGACCACCAAGCCATGTCCACCCAGTCACATGACCACCAAGCCACACCCACCAACTAAGCCATGCCCACAGAACTGGTTGTTAAAAAATTTGAATCCCACCCCTGAGAGTCAACATATTGCCCTCAACAATCTGACACTTCATTTTACTGATGCTCAGAAGGATCCAAGGCTAGTCAACCTTGAGCCTGTTAGGATCAGCCGAAGTAGCTTACAGTGCTGCATTCTAACCACTGCATCACTATGGCTTTTTTATGGCTTTTATCAAGGGGACTTTTAAAGTTGTCAATGATTTTGTGAGAAGAAACAATGAGAATATGAAGAGTGACTTGGATATTTTCTTTATGGTGGATATTCAAAAGGATCTTGCTAAAGTTATCAATGACCTTGAGAGAAGAAAGAAAGAGAATCTGGGGTACTAAATGCTGTCAGAAGAAAAAGGAAAGAATACAAAGTCAATTTATTAGATCAAGGTTAAAATTGATGGACTGTTATTTCCATTAATGTTTTTTTTTTTTGACTAGCACTGGATGATGATGTTTTAAAGGTTTTGTTTATCCTTAAGAGATAAAGAGATTATTTGTTGCATTTTAAATATGTGTGTTTAATAAATGCAAGGAAAGGATTTAAAGTGGGTTTATTAGATATAGAGTGTAATAGTTATATTGTTTCCTAATGGACTTCTGCTGATCAAGATGGAGTGATACTTTAGTGAACCCTTGAGGAGAATGGATGGCGTTTGGAATGAAGAGATGACATTGTATTTTAAGAGACTGTGATGAGTTGTTAATGTTGATTATACTTGCTGGTGATGAAGGGGGAGGTTTATTTTTCTTTTCTTCTGCACCTTTTATTTTTATTTTATCTTTTGTAGTTTGTACATTTTTTTCTGTATAATCTTTAATAAAATTATTGTGTAAAAAAGAATGTGTCTTTCTACTTTTAATTCTTCTTTTGGAACTTTCAGCATTAGGATCTCCTGTATTAATGGACAAGATATGAAAAATGTAAGAGAAGAAAGGACTGAAATTACATGCTCATCACATCAGACTTTTGAACATTTATTAAATTGTAGTACAACAAACATAGACAGATAGAATCTGTCTGTAGGTATTCATTTCTAACCATAATGGACCCTCACATTCTTGCTGGGATTGTGTTAGGAAAAGGATTCATTCAAAGAGGCTGACCTAAATCTCTAAAATCTAAATATATCTTCTGCTGAACCGAAAGTGTCTTTATCCATGATGGTATCACTCATAAAATGTAGAAGTTAAAGAAAGTGATTGAAAAAAAATCAGCCAGAGAAGTATGAAATGTCAAATTTACAGTTCCAAAGTTATGTATGTGTGAAATACAGATAGTTCTTGACCTTTGATTGTTTGGCCAGTGATTGGTCCATGTTACAGCCATGCTAAATGAATGGTGGTTACAAGGGGTCCTTAGAGTTCTGGCTGTCAGAGTACTCCTGTCGTCACATGATTACAATCTGAGTGCTTTTCAACCCTTAAAACCAGTTGTCAAGTTTTGGGGAGACTCATATAATTGCCATTTGCAAACTTTCCTACCAGCTTTTCCAGAATCTCAGTTGGGAAGCCGGAAAGGAGGTCACAGGGGTAAGTGTTCCTCATCTGTGTAACCTCCCGAGACCCGTCAGCATATCTGCCATGCTGGCCATTTGTGCATAAGAGTGCACTTTCCAGGAGTGGGATGCAAATATTTTTACTACCAATTCTGTGGCATGGCTAGGTGGGTGTGGCCATGTGACTGGGTGGGCATGGCTTTTTTGCCCCACACACTCTTGGTTTTTTGCTCCCATGAGGCTTCCCTGAAGCCCAGGAGGCAAAAATTGGAGCATGGGGGCCCTCCACATAGCACGCCCCGTGCTCTGTTTTTTGCCTCCTGGGCCTCAGGGAAGCCTCCTGGGAGGCCATTTTTACTCCCAGGAGGCTTCCCTGAGGCCCAGGAGGCAAAAAATGGAGCGCAGGGGAGGGCGTGCAGCACTCGCTGGGCAAAGCAGAGAGACAGTGAAGGGGATCCTGGCACAGCTGGTTGTCGGAACAGCTTCAGGAGGAAAGAAA